TTTTAGACAGAGTTGCCTCCTGAAAGTAAAGATCTCCAAATGATTAAAATGGCTACCTGTTTCTGCCTTCCCAGCACCCTGGTTACAGACACACATGACAGCACCTGCCTTTTGTGTGCATGCCAGAGATTCCCAACTCACCCCTCATGCTCCTGGACCAACCAGGTTACTCACTGTATCATCTTTGCTCCATCTCCCTCCTACCCATCCTTGCCTGGGCAATAAAAGGTATCACGCTGTTCCTCATGTTTGTCACAGTGTCACACTAAGGGATCTAAATTCATGTTCTGATTACCCCCATTTGGTATAAAGTATATTTAGCTCAGTTAAATTTCTTAAAATGTGTGAGAAAGGATTCAGGAACAATCTAAACATGTCCCTTATGGAATCTTCAACTTCTATCTGAGTTAAGAAGCTGCAAGCTGTGGTTCTCTTGTCCTCATTTAGAGAATAAAAAGATAGAGTGTGTGAGGAGATTCAGACCATGGGAATTTTCAAGAAGATAACTTTATTGCTGTACAGTTTCATTCAGTGTTTGTTGACTCACTGCATATCACGGTTCTGTGCAGCTTAATTCCTGCTCCATGACGTTGGTAGGGTACTTGAAGGCAATTATTTCTCTTGCTTTTGATCTGCTTAGCTAATTTTAAATATTTGTTTATATTTATATGTTTGAGTGGGTTTTTTTTGTATTTATGTATACCAAAGGTATGCCTGGTACCCAAGGAATAAAAAAGATTGTATCTTATCTTAGGAGACTGTCTGGAGCTAAAGAGCACTGTGAATTGCCAAGTGGGTACTGAGAACTGAACGCGGGTTTTCTGGAAGAGCAGACAGTGCTCTTAACCACATAGCCATCTTGCTTTACTGATATTTATTGTTTTGAATGAAAGTAATTACCCAATCAGTTTGGTTATCCCCATTTCATTTAAAAAAAATTCTTTCATTTGGAAAGAATCAAGACCAAAGTTTGGAGTGGGGAAGTATTTTTCTCAGCATGGGTTTATTTATGCTGTATTTGGTAGAAATTCTCAAATTTTGCAGTAATTCTCTTTGATAATCAGCTATTATGATATTAAGGACTTCTTTATTCTTCCTAAAAATAGGAGACAAAAACAGTAGAACTATAAATTGTTACATCATCATTTCCTAGAAGAAAACACAGATCCTTGATTCTTGGATTCCCGAAAGGAATTCATAGTGTTTTGAGTTTCTGGAAACATCCCGAAGCTAACAACACTGCCAATTCTGCTGGAAATGAGCCTTGAAGGAGGAAGCAAATAGAATGAGTTTGGGAGAAAGGGAGGTGTGGTTTCCAAAGGGAGCTAATTCCCTGGGTATGAGACAGTAGAAACTTTAAGAGAGCCTATAAAGGAAAGACGCCTGCATATGCAAAAGCCATAGCCTCTGTACTGATAGGACTTAAGGTGACTGCAGGTGGGCCAAGGAAATCTGAACCCTGAAGTGAGTACATGGGAGCTACAAGCAAGATTTCTGTGTTTAATTTGTCAGAGAAAAATCGACAGAGCACATTTCAAAAGGAAATAGAAGGGTGATGTAAAGTATCCTGGAAAGATTTTCTTTTTTTTCCTAAGGAATTTTGGTCAGTCTGAACCTATCAATTAATAGGTTTAATGACCTTCTAGAAATCAGCTTAAGAAAATGGAATATTTTAAAACTGTAATGATTTTTAGTTGTGCATTTATTCATAATAGCACATAGCATCTGATTATAGACAGAAAGAGGAAGTAAAGGCAGAGGGGGGAAGAGCTAGAGTCAGAAAAAAGAAGAGGGGAAACAGAAAGAAAAGGGAAGGCCTGGGAGTGGACATAATGTCTTGTTTCTCAGTCTCATTTTCTCTTAAGGTCTGAACATTATTGTATTTGTTCTCTCACTGTCTCTGCCTATTTTTCTGTCTGTCTCTGCCTCTCTCTTCTCTGTCTCCATCTCTCTCTGTATCTGTGTCTCTATGTATCTCTGTGTCTTTGTGTATCTGCATTTCTCTGTTTCTGTCTCTCTCTCTCCCTCTCGCTCCCCCTCACCTCACCATACCCATACTCCTCTACAGATAGTAGAGGTGAATATCTTGGTGTTATTTTGAATAACAGCCTTCACTTTGCACATATACAAGACTTTATATACATAACATATCTTTTGAGTCAAGTCAAAACATCTACAATACTAGAACTTAGGTGAAGGCAGAAGAATAAGAATTTCAAGATTGTCCTAGGCTACATGGAAAATTTGAGACCAACTTGGCTTACATAAGACCCAGTTTCAAGTACCCTAACCCCACCAAAATTTATTTTTAAAATACTTTACAATAGATCTTTTTGTATTTTGATGTACCTGTTCCTGTTGTATTTTAATACTATAATAATAATAATAATAATGCCTTGTTGAGTTTCACAGGTATCATACAGTGTTCCAAATATTCTGTGACTAACTTAAGGAAGTCTCACATTGGAATCTTATAAACCAGTTTCCAAGCTGGGCTGTGGGGGTACACGCCTTTAATCCCAGCACTCTTCCTGCTTTTCAAACTCACCTTAGTTCTAGAAAATTAGTATTTTACTTATTTACAAACTAGTAAGATTTCATAAGCTTTTTCCGTACATCCTTAATTTTGCTTAATTCACCTTCTGGTCTTCCTTTTCTCCTGTGTCCTGTACCCATCTCCACATAAATCTTTAGCTCACAGTACGCTCTTCTTTCATAATACATATTATACTATCAGCTCTTACTAAATGTTTTCCTGGTTTTGCAAGATCATGTACATTTCATTTTGGTTCAGCCTTCCCCCGGTCCCTCATTTCTCCATTCTCACTGCTCCGCTACCCACTAGAACCCTTCTTTCTCAGCATTGCCCTTCTTTACTTTCATTTCAGCTCTATTCTAAAAATTTTCTGCTTCCCAAAGTCATTCTTTTTCTGACTTGTTTCTAGTTTCCTGGATTCCACATATACTCCAGGTTTAAAATAAATTGAAGCTAAGAATCCACATACAAAAAAGAATACATGGTTTTCATTTTTAGGGGCCTGGGTCACCTTACTCAGTACTTATTTTTCCATTTCTATACTTTTTCTGCATAGTCAGCGAGTTTAGATTTCTTTAAAGTTGAATAGTATTTCACTGTGTATGTGGGTTTGAGGCCTACTTGAATTCCAGGTACTGTAAGCATGATCAAATCCCGTGGTTAGGGAATTCATTGGACCTAGGGGAGCCCCTACTAAAGCTGTTTCTCAAGAGGTCATGTTGTCAAATTGTCTTCTAACTATCTATGGCTACAGTAGTCAACCTGCGCTGCTCCTCACCTTGGTTACAGATGCTTTCTATTGTAGTGCCAATCAGTTAATCCAGAGACTCATTATGTCAGAAGGAACGATCATGAGTGCTCAGCCACGGGCAGGACCCCTGTATCAGCTCTTTCCTGCATATGTCTCAGGGAACATCATGGAAGATGGAGTGGAAAGAATGTAAGAGCCGGAGGAAGATGAAAAAGGCTGCTTTTTAAGTGAATTCTAGGCAGCTGTGCTAACCTGCACACATCAAGCCAGTTAAAACTTCTAGCACTAGGTGGGGAAGAGCTCCTCAGGCCCCATTCCTACCTGAAGAGCACTGATAGTTAATTGATGCTGAGAGAGAAAGAATCACTTTTCTTTATGGATTGGTCACTAATACATTAGGCATGTCTCGTTGATGAATCCAAACCCATGAGGCATACGGGAAGCCCGAATTGGAAGTAGTGGGTTTTTCTAAAGGAACTGTAAAAGGAGGACATAAATTGAGAGGGAGATGTAATGTGGGTCCTAGAAAGTGTAGACGTGGGAGACTGAGGAATGGATACGACACACAGGTGAACACATGAGATCCCTCACCAAGAATACCATTTTCCATAAATAGAACAAACTACGTTGGTACCTGGGCTACGCTGTGACACATGCTTAACAGTGTCCTACTGACCCCATGAGCCTTAAAAGTGTGCTAAAAACTCACCCTACCCTACACATTGACTTCTACTCATTCAAAAATAAAGCATTTGCTTTTGTTACAGTAAAGAGTATCTGATGGTTTATTCTACACGTGATAAGGCAGAGTGGGACATTGTCTGAGGGACGGGAGGTAAAGAGTTGGAGGGCTGGAAGGAGAGAGCAGCGGGAGAGAGGTACAAATGAGAACAAAGACTAAATAGACATGAATTTGAGAAAAAAAAAAAAACAAGGAAGGAGTACATGGGAAGAGCTGAAGAGAGGAAAGGAGAGAAATGATGTAATTATATTTTAATTTAAACTAAAAAGAACTTATTAAAATATGTGAGCCTGGGGCTGGAAAGAAGCTGTGAGCTGGCCCTTGAGTAATCATTTAACTAATTACAATCGCAAAGAACCACAGCAGCATTTAGGGAACATACCCTATCTGGTTTACAGAAGTTGCAAGAACAATTTTTAGAAAGTACTTGACTTCTTGCTCCCAGGGACACCCACTGAGACCCGGACCTGCTGTTTCAAACAATGCCTGTGCACAGACTCAGCCCATCCTAACCCTCAGTACCTCTTCCATTAAGGAAGCACAGCAGGAGCTGGCGAGCTGCCTGAGCCTTGTGCACTGAGATTCAGTACATGTCTCTTGTGCCCTGTGTGATGACAGTTTTTGAAGCACTTTCCTATTGATAGAGAACATGGGAGAAGTAAAGTATACTTTATAAAAAAGGGATATTTTTGAAAATAAATATCTGCCTACATGTGAGGCCCTGAACGGTATTTCTTAGACTCTAGCAAAGTGCTGAATGAGTTCTATGCATAGTCACCAAGCATGAGGGATATCCATGGGTACCTTAAATGAAGTATGCATTTTCGAGGATGATCTTTCCAGTGATAAATGCTTGCTAAATGACACCGTAGATTCTGAGGTTAAGTAGCCAGCGTAGTAGCTGTACACTTTCTGAATGCACAAGCAGAGATAACTGTTGAATGTGGTCTAGAATGGAAGTCATGAGTCACCTGCACAGATGCTACTTTTTCCAAAGGGCTTTCTACTCGAGGAATGTTGATCATCGGCATCCGGGCCACACTGTCCCTGTGCATGTGCCCATTTTCTGGTTGTCTTCCTTTGAAATTATTTACCACGCACACAACCTAAAATTTCAGGAAACAATTGCCGTTAAGTAAGTTATGCATCCTGCAACTATCAACCTTCTGAGGAGCTTGATAACACTCCTTATAGCAACCAAGATTTAAAAGTACCTAAATGTCATACGACTAAAACTTTACATCCAGATTTACCATGAATAAATTTCAATAGTTATTCCACTTCAGATAGGTTCGAGAAAATTTACCGATGAATATGTATCAGAATGAATCATGACAATTCTGCTATTCCAAAATGTTCATTCATGTACAGACACTATTCAATCCAATCCAAAATTAACACCATAACCTTTTTAAAAAAATCCCAGCAAGCTAACCTCTCCCTAATGTGACTAACCTACAACTTAATTTTCATGCTTATTATTTCTTACTGCGTCAAGATTATTACATTCACACTAATCCTTGACAGTTGGCACTCTCTAATTTAACAATATCCATTTAATTATACTGGCTTATTGTCTACTGTGTCTCATATATACGTAAAATTTGAACAATAGCTTACCAGAGCGACTACTGAAACAGAAGACCCTTCACATAAAGGAAATTGACCCTCATTTTAACTGATTCTATTCTAGAGGTGAAAGAATGTGAATCAAAGCATGCATGAAAATTAAGTTCTTGCAATGCTAAAAATATACATTCCTTAACGCATCTCCTAAAGTTTCAGATGCAGTAGGTGAAAAATAGGGTATAGAAGACAGAACTTTTAAATGCACTCTAGAAGTTTCTGCATCAGGTGAATCATATTTAAGGAATAATAATTTAAGCCACACAGGAAAATTATTTTTTATGTTGACTTTATATTAACCACTGGGTAATGTGTTTTTTCTTTACCTGGGCTCTATATTCTAGAATAAATATGACTTAATTGTAGTTCCAGCCTGATACTCATTCTAAATTATGCAAATGCTATCACTGTAATGTTATGTTTAAATTTATTTTCATAAATTCATCATTGAAAGATTTTTTTGTTAAACCTATTAATTAATATTCACTTTGTTTCTAAAATTATTTAAAAATTTATTCTATTTTATGTGTATTAGTATGTTGCTTGCATACATGGATGTGTGTCATATACATGTTTATTGCCAAAGGAGGTCAGAAGAGGTCAGATGGCCTGAAACTAGAGCTGCAGGAGGTTGTGAGCCAACATGTGGGTGCTGGGAATAAAGCATAGGTCCTCTGCAAGAACAGCCAGTGCTCTTACCACTGAGCCATCTCTTCACCTACATTATTGCCAAGTAATTCTAAATACTAATTAAATCTTGGGTTATCAATTCTTGAATAAAATATACAAATGTATAAAATAATAACATAAACTATAATACTTTATATCACAAATTATTTCTTTTCAAGCTGTAATTTACTTTTTTTTAAAAAAAAAAACTTACGTTGTCCTAGAAGAGCTATAGGTTAACAGTATCAAACCCCAAAAGTGCAATACCACAGCTTTGTGATAGTTATCTTTAAATAGGGGCTTGAAGGTTGTTATTCAGTATGCTTTTTCTCTTATGAAGTTGTCATTTTCATGATCCCACAAAAGACTAAAAGAAATTGATTGTTCAAGAAATAGAGTCAGAATATTTTCCCTAGAAAGAAGAGATATTAAATAATGTAGCAAATATTTTTGATGTTGTAGGCTCATAGTCAATGGCAACTACTCAACTCTTCCCTTTTGAAGGGAAAGCAGCAATTCCATTTGTTCAAAAGAGAAAAGACATGTTGACAGTCTGATAAACTTCCCTTACTAAAAGAAGCAGGAGGTCAAATTTGGTCCGAAGGTTGAAATTTGATAAATGAGCACTTTTCTAACACACAAAGGATAGATCTGATAATTTCAGGTAACAACTTCAATGAAACAAAGAGTTTCATGTCCATATCATAGCACACACACTTCCAGAAATCACTCTCCTCACATATATTCAGGCGAGATCTCTTACTTCAACTCAGAATTCACTATACCCACTAGTCTATCTACACAGCTTGTCCAAAGGTGTTTTTTTTCTCAGCATTCCATGTACTAGGATTACAGACATGCACATTGCTCTCCAAGCATTTTCATGGGTTCTGGAAGTCCTCACATGTGTGTAACAAGTGCTTCTCGCTTTGCCATTGATGTCTCCCCTGAGCCCTTAGTTTGGCAAGCTCACTGTGTTTCAGAGTGTCTGTTTTCCTATGCTCATACAGAACTCTGAGTCTGTCTGTCAGAGCAGTAGTCTCAGTATGAAATTTCACAGTGGGTAAGGAAGTACGTTGACTCATGTCTCTTCTAAGGCACAAATTAGGAGTCTCATCTGAAGTTTGTTGCCTTTGGACCCCACCTGTCACAGTGAGTGGCATCGTTTATGAAAGACGTCACTAATGAATTCACATGCATTCTGGCCCCAAATTGTATTGTATGGTCTATTATCTTTAATTAAAAATTAATTTCTGCCAGGTGGTGGTGGTGCACCCCTTTAGTCCCAGTACTTGTGAGCCAGGCGGATCTCTGTGATTTCAAGGCCAGCCTGGTCTACAAGAGCTAGTTCCAGGAACAGGTCCCAAAGCTACAAAGAAACCCTGTCTCCAAAAACAACAAAAAAGTTAATTTACTTTCAAGCACTATGTTTTATATCAATGGCTTCCACTCATTTAACTTTATATTCCCCTAAAAAGATTACACTAATTAACTACCACCACACATATTTTTGGGTTTCTCTATGTTGTATTAATAAATTTTTATGTATTCACTTTTTTCTTCCCATAATTATTACATTATGTACCTTGTGGAGTCAAACAGTATTAGCTCCTAATTTGGTTATCTGTTTTTAATCTGAAAGTGAGGGCAATATATCTCAATAAAATGCTGCAGTGATTGCTACTCGTACATAAGATCATATGACAAGCTATTATTGGGATCAACAAAGCTGGACACTTCTGCTTAGCAATTTCATCTATCATGCTCGGGAGAGGTGAGGTTTTTACGTCATCCATTTTTGTAACAATAATAACCAGCACCTGCTGCTCAAGAATTAGTTTTGTATTTTGCTAAGCGCGATGATTCTACTCTTTACCCTTGAGCAAAATGTACAAGGGTGCAAACAGATTTCGGCCACAACCTAATTCCTTGTAGGATTCTAACAGTACAGACTGATACATATAGAAGTTAAGGGGGAGATGAGAAGAACGTGATGACAGGTACAGCCTAGAAAACGTGGGATGTGTCTGAGTCAAATCTTAGCAATGTAGAAGACTGGAATATCGGTGTAAGAGCTGGGCATGATAAGCAGTGAAATAAGGCCATGCTTACTACACGTGGAAATTCATTGAGTCCTTTAAAGAACTCAGGGCAACAAATTAAACAGTTATTCTTTCATGTCGCCCATATACAAGACCATATTCCAAATACATGAAAAGGTAAGCAGTGAACAAAACGAACAGAAATATTTCTCCACGATGGCTTATTTGCAAGAGAAATGTGAAATGCGGTGTCTAGGAGTTGCCATGTGTTAGTGAGAAACACAAGGAAGGACTTAGGAGAGAAGATGTTCTGAGCATGGCTTGGGGAAGGTTTCACTATATGATGAATAGTGAGCTGTGATTGATGTGTCCAGGGTCACACGCATGCAGTGGCAGGACTCAGATATCCCTGCCTCTCATTTGCAACTGAAATACACAAAAAGAAGGGGCATTTCCCCAGAACAAATGTGTAGGAAGGGCAGGTTTGTTTTTGATAAGGGGAGGAGGCTGATTGTGATTCCACGAGCTGGATTAATGAACACAGAGAAAAGTGCAGGATGCTTTTCACTAGGAAATAAGCATTTGGAACATCGTGGACCCTGGAAGTGCAGTAGAATGACTGGAGTTGAGGCATCCGGGAAGGTTTATTTTGCCTTGTTATTGACAATGCATTTTTGCAATAATTGCAATATAGGCCAAGCCAGCAAGGTGGTGGTGTGGGGGATATCTGTAGGAGTACTTGGGATGGGAAGCCCACAGTTCTGGTTAGAAGGACTGATATAAGACACACAAGGAATAATTGGGAAGTGGAAATGAACTTGAAGTAGATGAGTCACTGCTTGTTGGGGATGAACTGGGAGAATGAGTCAGAGGTAAATGCTAGGTGTAGATAAAGGGTGGTGAGCGGAGGTGTCTTTAGAACAAGACAGCAACTTGGAGTAGACTGCTTTATTTTTCTTTTGGACTCATTTTAGAATCCTAAAACCCTGCAAGATAATTGCAGGACATTTGCAAGCCAGAGTTGGAGTGGCTGCACAAAATTCAAAATAAATGCCCTACTGAGTTATCCAAATAAGGAATTTGCGAGTCATCCCGAGTTGTTTCCTGTCCCTCATCCACATCATCTTATGTTCCCTCAGGCTCTCTTTCTTCCCTTTCCATTCCAAAGATTGTCTATTCTTTCTGTGTCTCTATAGTTCAGTTTAGACTCTGATTTCCCTGGTTCTTCATAACACGTTTCCTCCATCTTCACCTGCAATGTTATGCTAGAGCATATTTTTAAAGCACAGATCTCAAATGGCAAAAGCTAGTGAGCGGAAGCAAACTACCACTTACGGAACTGTGCTTTACTCATTCCCGTGGCCGTTCACTAAGCATGTACTACTTTGCTTGACCTTCTGTAAGTTCAAGAACGAGCCTTCTGGGAGGTTGTGATTGTTCTCATATACAGAAGGATACAGGAGCACAGAAAGGTTCAATAAAGTACTTGATGGGACAATTGAGTACATAAAGAAACTTGGACTCAACAAGTCCATTCGATTTCTACTCTTTTGAAGGCAGGGCATACTAACTCCCCTACATTTTAAACAAAAGTCCACATTATTCTTTTGGCACACAAAACTTTTCCATGCCTCTAGCCTTCATGATGGGAGACTAGTACCATTCCAGGAAGCAGTGCTTTCTCATTCATAAGCTGTTTCCTGGGCCTGCGGTATAGGAAGAGCTCCATGCCTACTGTCCTTATACAGGCTTTCATGTTGTCTATGTGGCCCATGTTTTGTTCTCATTCCTTGTGCAGAATCCACACTTATCCTCTTTCTTACCTCCTCCAGTTGATATATCACTTTTTTTTTTTTTTTTTTTTTTTTTTGCTTTTTTGAGACAAGGTTTCTCTGTGGCTTTGGAGCCTGTCCTAGAACTAGCTCTTGTAGACCAGGCTGGTCTCGAACTCACAGAAATCCGCCTGCCTCTGCCTTCCAAGTGCTGGGATTAAAGGCGTGCGCTACCACCACCCGGCCAATATATCATTTTTTCCTGACAGGTCTGTCACCTCAATAAAGTTAATATTTCCAGTACCTATCAATAAATTGTATGTAATCCTCTATAAAGTGTAATGTCTGTTTTCTTATTTGAGTTGTAACATATTTAATATCTGAGATGTCTCTCGTTTTGTTCTCAAATATTTCTTCACATCACCAAGGTCAGCACTTGTATTGGAGTAGGGACTTGGCAGCATTTTATTTTAAGGAGGAAGACGGGGAAGGGGAATTTAAGGGACTAGGCTAATCCCCAAACAAAACTCTAGCTCATGGTGGAATCAAGCCATATTCCCATGAGCTTCCTTGACTTACCAGTTGTCGCCTACAGGCACTCACATTCATAAGTGATCATTAATGAGAACATGATTCATCTTTAGCTACATGATTGAAGCACCGTTTTGGTGTGAGATTGAAGCACCGTTTTGGTGTGACCTTTTCATGGAGTCATTTTTCTCATGTGTAATAATATTTAAGTAGTGATTTCAGAATGTGTGTAATATACATTCTTGGATTGAATATGCACAAGAGAGTGGCTTGAGCTCAGGGAGATGTACAGGCTAGCTCTTCATGTATCTAGTTCTCAGTTAGGGATATGTCTAACATGACACTAGCGTCTGGTTTTAAAGGATGGCTAGGCTAAGGCACTAAGATGCTCTCTGGAAGGGTAGGAGGATTGCAATGGCCAGGGGAAAAACAATAGGAGGCTGATGAGGCGCCAGGGAAAATAATCTACACCTAGGGAGCTGAGTTCGGTGGCATCATAATTTCCATCACTTTTCTGTTTTGTTTTGTTTCTTTTAAATGTTAACCAGTCTCAACTGTGATGAGTGAAAGCAAGGAGAGTTTGGCCCTGAGTTTCATGAGGCATCAAGTGACTTCAAAGAGACGGGGGGGTATTAAAGGGTAACTTCAGCCTGTCTGTTGCTATATTTGGATGATGAAATTTATCCAAAAGAATCTGCAAGACTCAACAGTAAGCAATCTGTAGCTTATCTAGGAGCACACCTGTAACCAAGCAACGGAATCTCAGCTATTCACATCACCTCAATCACTAGCCAATCAGAATCCATGAACTGCCAGAATTTTTCCATAAAAGGCAAATGCTGACTGGGGTTCATCAGGTGATTTAGTATCTCTTCCTCTTCCACTGACTGTACCTGCACACTCAGTCTATGATAGTGAGGGGCATTCTGACTGATGAACACATCACAGATTTAAAAAAAAAAAAAAACTTTTAATCTAGAGTCCTCCAGTGACCTTGAGACTCACAGTGAATGGCATCACAAGAGGAAACAAAGGGTGGGGGGATGAAACTCAGGATGCTGAGCAGACATGAGATCATGCCCATTAATTTCCTACCGGAGGTTTTAGAGGGAACATTTCATTTCAAATTCCAGGCATGTAATTTGTACTCAAACCTCACACATTTTTTTTTTATTGCCCACTCATTATTAACTGGGCAAAGGAGGCTGAGGAAGGAAGAAGCAAGTATTGTGAGAACAAATCCAACTGAATTGAAATGGAAGTGTTTCTGAAGTTATAAGGTGTCCCTGTAAAATGGCCTTTGCTTTATAAACTGTGCACTTGGTCATCTAAGTAAGACGGTTAAAGTCCCCACAAGTAACGGCCTGATGATTTTCAACTCAGGCTGAAAACTTTAATTGAACAAAATTATAGATTCATTCAAGTGTATGTTTTAGCAGGCATATGGGTAGCCCTCCATTAAAAGGCTCTGACATTCTTCACCATGTGGAAGACATGACTGGGGATGCTAGTATCCCCATCCCATTCTCGGACAGTTTCGGTCCCCCAGGAGAAGTGATGCATCTCACAATCCTATGTCACGGGAACACTGGAGGTGTGGATCTCATGAAGTGCCCAGACTGAAGAAGGCATGAAGCACTTGGGTCCAGGAGGATGTTTTCCTTCACTAGAGGCAAACTATGCTGAGGAATTTTGTGGATATATAAACAGTGCAGTCTACAATACTAACTGAGATGGGACAGGTGAGATAGCTTAGTGGATAAAGGTAATTGATGGCCTGAGTTTAACCCTCAGCCCTCACATGGTAGAAGGCTAGAACTAACTCTCACAAGTTGTCTTTTGGACCTACACACGCATGCTGTGGCACATGTGTTCCCTGCCCCATTAATTAAAAATGTAAAATGCTATTTGAGGAGGAATGATTTTTAGCTCTACTCCATTATATATAAAAGTATTTTAAGTGCAGAATTTATTTATTATTCTTTCCCAAATCTAATCTTAAGAAGAATAAATGCAAGAAAAAAAAGAAATGAGCAACCATAAACATATATTTCACATAATGTATCACAATGATTCATCCTTGCATTTTCTTAGAAGTGATATTCAAGCTTCTTAAAAACAAAAAAAAATATTTTTAAAAATCATACTTACCAGAAATACTGCTATAGATATCCCAACTAGAAAGCCCGCTATCACATCCGACCAATGATTTCGATATTCTGCTACTCTATTGAGTCCAGTAAGAAAGGCCAAGCACATTAATCCCAAGCATAGAACAGGCTTAGCAAGTCTGGTGCCTTTGGCTTTGATAGTGTTCGTAATGTACATCTGAAATAGCAAATAAAACAAGACTTTTCACAAAAGTGTTTTCTTGGTATACACATGAAATACATTATGTATATATTACAAAAATGCAGTTAACAGCTATGTATGACTGTGTAGTTTTAATCATTGACTAGAGTTTATGATTCTTGTAGTTTAAAAAAATGGTTATTTTCTGTTAAGCTACTTAACCCAGGCTGGTTTCCAGCTCTCTAGATAGCCAGAGTTGCTCTTGAATGTTAGCATTATAGGTGTGTGCTACCATACCTGTAATGAAGTTTGTGATGATGAGTTCTTAAATGTGGAATTTAAGAATGCCAATTAAAAAAAAGAATGCCAATTATTTAGCTTTATTTATCTATCATGGCCATTTTTTTTGTTGACTATAATAGGGTTCTTTTACAAGTATTATATTTTGTAACGACTAAATGATTGGTGTTTACTATAACAAGTGAGACAACCCACGTTACAGAATAATAGGACATTATAGTTATCCTTTAGTAAAAGTGAACCAGTTATCAAAGCCCTTCAGTATATGTATTAAGTATTGCATGTATTTAAATAAGCAAAGAGTAACATGAAATAACGTATAGTAGGATCTTAGCAGGAATCAAATGATAAGTTTTGGCATTCTGCATCATCTTGCATGGAATGGGTGAATGAGGATGGATAACACAGCTAAATGAGTTGGCTGTAAGCTTGTTAGCATCCACAGACCCTTGACGATAGAAGGAACACAATTCTGCTCAAATCACCCCCACCTCCTGTTTGTGTTTATTTTAGCTACATTTTGACATCTGGTTAACCTAGATGGTTTCATAAGTGAATTAGAAACCAAGAAAGCATAAGTAATCAATTACTGTTCTGTATTTAGCTTCCTTAGTAGATCATTATGCTATTATTTCCCCTTCTGCAGATCAGCTTTAATAGACTTTCTGCAAGGATAAAACAAATAGACTGTTTAAAAGGCTCTTGTCATAAAGTACTAGAGAGTTGACAAGTTCAAACAAAAAAATTCTCTAGTTTGTCTTTCATTATATTTGTGGTAATTATTAATTTCTCCAATGAGGAAATATCTGAGGTTTGATCCTGAAGGATGAGCATGGTTGTCCATGCCAGCAGAAACTGAACTAGCCTAGATGTAGACGATAACCCGGGTAATCCAGCCACGGGCTTTCAAAGTATTTTGCTCATTTTCTTGGAACTCTTGCCATGGTGACAGGTTCTTATTTGTTTTATTTGTTCCCCTCACTATAGGGGAGACATAGAAATGAAGCCTGGTCCTTCACTGTAAACTCTGTGCTTGGCACTTGGCCTGACTTTCAGAGAACTGTTAAGAAAACGAGACTTACTAAAGAGAAGATTGAGTGAGGGATAGCTAGGAGGGAGACAACAGAGTATTTGTGACATTTGTCACTTTGTAGAACAATGTATATACTGCCATGCTTCTCCCTTTTATAATATTCTTTTAGAATAGAACCTTCGTCCATTCACTGCTCTATGTGAAATGCTTAGAAGCTTTTTCACACAATAGGCATTCAAAACTTACCGCATGATGGAAGCATGACAGGCATTGTTGGGCAAAGGTAGAATTTTGAACTCGTATTACCTGAAATCGCTACTTGAAAGTATCTTGAATATATATGTGTTTACTAACTTACTGTCTCTCTTTTTTTATTGTCATGTATTTCCAGGAGCAAAATCTGCAATGGGTGACTACTAATTGTGATAAGAAGACTATGAGCCTCAAACAGACATCTATGAATCTTCAGTTTCCTGTTATTTCTTGTGACTATGGTTCCCACTCACATGAGACTTTGAAAATGGATAATATTCCCTCACTGTAGCCAGAGAGAAAGACTTGGTGAAGCCATGGATGGAAGGACCACAGATACACTCTGATAAGGCTAGGGAGAAATTTCACACAGTTCTGGCAGTTTGCCTCACACAAATTCGTCTATGTATTAGTTACTTTTCTATTGTTGTAATAAAACATCATGGCCAAGGTAAGTTATAGAAGGACTTGGCTTATGGTTGCAGAAGGATAGGAGCCTGTCATGATGGGGAAGGTTGGCAGCCAGGGAGACAGAAACTTGATGTCCAGAGCTCACGTCTTGAACCCCACCGATACAGAAGAGAAGGAACTCTAGAAATAACAAGAGTCCTTCAACTCTCAAAGCCACCTTCAGAGACACACCCTCCAATAAGGCCACATTTCCTAGACCTCCTGAGTGGGACCATCAGCTGCAGATCAAGTGTTCAAATTCCTGAAACCATGGAACACCTGTCATCATTTAAGCATCATAGCACATGAATATCTGATGGCTTTTCCTTCCTCCTCCACAAAATTTTTCATACAGCTACAGAAAGGAAACAAATGATGAATCTTTTCCTCTGGATTAGGCAAACTGTAAAATAAAAAGCACATTTTCATTTTACAATTTCTGGTTCCTAATTGTTTAAGATATGAGAAAATTGTGCAGCAAGTTTACCCTGTTAATGCACCTAACCACGGGCCAACCCGAGGAGCAGTGTGGCTTTTCTAGATGACAAGGTATCAACCCAACTCATTGGTCCATATTCCGTAATCAGGTCAGTGGTGGAATATTTTTAAATGCCTCAAGTTTGACAGCTCTGGTTAATATAATCTAATAAAACACAGAGATTTTTTTCATATTCTTTTAACATTACTGCTTATATTAGTCTGTCTGTGGTCAACTGAGTATTTCATAACTTCTTTACAGAGACTGAAGCCCATCCAAATTCTTTTTTATTATGCACATGGATTTTTTCAAAGCAACACTCAATCTTGTAAAACCACTTTTAACTTTCATCTTGACATTTATCATATCCGACCTGCCCTAGTCTTGAGTTAGCTAACGGGAGCCCCTCAGATGATAAACATCCACAATGGAATGCTGTTTGCAAAATGGCACAACAACTTTCATGTAAACAAACTCAAGTGTTCATTCAAGCTCATGGTCAAGTCCTGGGATTCTTATTATTGTTATAATTTTACTTCATATTCTTATCTGCCTTTATAAATGTGTCCAAGTAGTAGTATAAAGGCATCTGAGAATATCTGTAGAATGAATAGGATGGGAATATTATAATGGTGGCAAACCAAGGGTTTTACAAGACAGATTTGTATTCCAGGAATTCAGGCCCTCGGGGCTGTGATGGAGGAGGGGGTAATGATACAAGAAACAGTGATATGATAAAGTGTTGGAACTCAGAAGATGAGTCTCAAGTCAGTTTAGACAGAGACTGTTTGCTCTTTTCCCAGCTGCCCAGACATGAAATAATAATACAGAAACTATATTAATTAAAACACTGCTTGGCCGATTAGCTCAGGCTTCTTATTAACTAACTCTTACATCTTAAATTAACCCATTGCTATTATTGTATATTTTACATGATTTTTGTGGTTTACCGGTAAGGTTCTGGGGCAGGTGTCTTTTTCCTTCAACAGCTACATGGCATCTCCCCGACTCTGCCTTTTTTCTGCTCTATTTCTGCTGGGAATTCCCACCTTGTCCTATTCTATGCTGCCATAGGTCCAAAGCAGATTCTTTATTAACTAGTGGTAATAAAACATATTTATAGCATACAGAGGGCAATTCCACATCAAGTCAGAGATTTTTTTGCCATATTGTTGGAAAGTAAAGATATGAGGAGCCCTAAGAAACAAAGTCCCTTTTTATTCTGCCCTCCTGTGTCTCATCCCCCTTTTTTCACCTGAAAGAAACCACAGAAATCAAAATTCCTATTTTGCAAGATGGAGCACAAGAGCTAGAAAGAGGAGTCCTACCTCCTGCACTGGAATTCACTTGGTCCATCTAAACTCACAAACAATGAGCATCTTTCCATCTTCAACACATCTTCTTCTAGCCCATGTTCCTAATCTTAGCAACCCATCATCTATTGCTATGCTATTTCCTGTGAGCGTGTTTTCTAATCATGCACGTCCGTATAAATAGAAAATGTTTCCTGGTGGTGGAAAGAGAAAATATTCTATGAAGTCATGATCCTGTCTTTGAATGGCAGAAGGAACACATATCATTCAGACTATGTTGGAAAATAAAGAGCTCCCCCCCCCCATAACCTACATCCTTACTACCAATGGTTCCAGTGACAACTATCTTATCAGTTACTAAGCTTCTTATATAAGGGGCATATTAAGATAGGTGTTCTACCAATTCAATCCAGAAATAAAGTATAAATCCCTCTATTTTCTCTTATCCAAGGATAACTTTCCTCTGGGATGTGGTCTAATTTAAAGGTACTCATATACATAAGCAAATGCACAAGATAATCATTCAGTTTTTTTTTCCTGCTCTGCTTCTTCAGAACCCCAGCCCTTACCCTAAGTGAGCAGTTCCTTCTCTCCCAAGTACTAATTATCCTCTTCACTCTCTCCTACTGGCTTAAGTAAAACCCTCAGATTTCCTAGTTTTGCTTCAGATATTCCCAAATTAGATTTGAGACTTAGAAATTCTTATTCTCTCGGAAAACCCTGCCTAATTCAGTTATGAACTGAGCATAAGTTTTTTTTTCTCTGATTTACTCTGAATTCTCTTTTAAGGACTGCCCTTCACTAAATCCAATAAGGAACCTGTAGATACTAATGGCTTCTTCAGCTGTGACTGGAGGAACTGCAGAACCAAATCTTTCCTTCTACTCGATTTTAATTAAATTAAGTCTAATTGAATTAAACTGATCTCAAAACTATTGCTTGATTAGGCTATCAGGCTATTTTTAGGTATGCTCTGAACTAATTGGGTATGCAAAATTACATTTTACACTCTGGAGTCTATGAAATCTAAATGTGGATCAAATATTTTAGATGAAGACTCGGTATCTGAATTAAGATGTTAAATTTGTGCTGGATTTAGAAAACTAAAAAAAAAGGAATAAAAGGAACATCTAATTAAATTTTTATTGATACATGTTGAATGACGATATTTTAGATATACTGGCAAATGTTTTCAAAATATCACAATTTT